ACTTGATAGTTTTGAAAATGCTAATTTCATCATTTGATATTGCCAAAGGCCAAAACATAGCCACTGCAATAATTTCATTCTATCACATTAAAAAAATAGCACCAAACTTTTGTCTTTACTAATGTAATAAGCAACAATAAAAAATATTGGTTTCTATCATTTTGATACAAAAGAAATATCTCTGCTGACTTGTGAGCATGGGAATGGCAGTAAATTATTGAGGCAACAGGTGTCACTGATACTGTAATTTGATAAAAAAAAATAGTGTTTGATTAACTTTTTAAATGGTTAATGTGGTTTTCTTCTGAAAGCTACTGGAGTCTCTGCACATTTCATCATATTCAATGTGTGCTTCCTCTTTCTCATTAGTAGTTTTTATTATTAATTTTAACAGGAGATTGGAATAGGACTTGTTTTGTTTCAGTTGTTCCCCCAAAGACTGAAAAAAATAGGTTCCAGCTACTGCCAACTTTCAAAGACCACCTATATAAGGCGTGTAAGAGCTGAAAACTGCTTTTACAAAGCTTAACCCATCACCCGACTCAAGCTGTAAAAAGAATGGAAGAATGGATGTGAAGAGGAAGAGAGATTTCTTCGGATCAAGTTGTGGTATCCTGTGCTTCCTCCAGCGCCCTCACCTGTCACCAGGGAGGAGGCAGAGAGGCTTTTCCCCAAACATAACCCAAGTGGGAGCAGAGCCGCAGCACAACCACTTGGATAGCTTGGCTCATGCATAAAGGGGGTCTGCAATGTGCTGCTAGATGAGTCCGAGGCAGAGCTGCATTAGGAGGACACCGCCCTCCACCAATGAGTTCCCGGACACAGGTGCACATCTCTCCCCGTGGCCAGTGGGGCAGCCCGGAGATGAGAGTCAGACAGGGTCATTTACAAAAGGGGATGTTTCCCCAAGGCCTTCTGAGGGAGTAGGAGTTGGGGGAGAAGGGAGGGTAAGCTTACCTCACCACAGCAGAATGAAACGGAATAGAAGCCTTGGTCACAGGGACTGAGCATTAGAAGTTGATAATGACCAGGCAGGCAAGTCAAGCTCCACCTCAAAGGGACCCAGAGGGGTTCTTTAAAAGCTCATGAAAGCTCTCTCATCCCCCAGAAAATGAATCAGCTGAGGGAATCTGCCACATTCAGAGAGCACTCACAACATATTAGTGTGGAGCTGGATTTCAAGAGCTTCTACCTACCTTATCTCTCTTCCTGGGCAGGTCAGACTAGCTGTCTGCAGGTGGTGGTCCACATAGAAATCAGGAGAGTGAGGTGGGAACAGAGGGCAGAATGACATTAATGATGCCTTTTTATTTCTGCATTCCTCTTGCTTTGACATCTGAGACCTTGCTGATCCTGGAGACACTGACCCACCCACAACTAGATAGTAATTCCCTTTCATTTGCAAACCAACCAATCCAAAGCCCAGACCTCATCATCCCCCTCTCCCCTCATCACCCAGGACCAAGTACCAGAAATCTGGAGACAGAGCCTGCTCAATTTATTCAAATCAACTTACCTGCCTTGCCCATCCCCATGGAAACCGCAACAAGGGCACTTGACTAACTTTCCTCTCCCTTCCTCTACCTCAAACCTACCCTGGTGCTTTCCCACGGGCCAAGCCACACCTCTTCTAGGAAACTCTGAATAAACTCCTCTCCCTTCACCACAGTCATTTCTCCATCTGCATGTCCCACTATCCCAGAGTAAAACAAAATTTGGCTCTCTGTAAACCAGAAGCACCCCATGGCAGGCTTCCCTGCATCAACCAGGCCTCGGGGAGGGAGGGAGAAGCCTCTCTTTTGAATGAGGCTTGGCAATTGATTATTTCACCAGATTGAACGTTTAAATACAGACTTGACTCAACTTGTAACTAACAGCGACAGAGGATGCTTTGTCCTCAAGGACTAAGATGGCCTGGGAAATCTATGGGATCCACCTGAGAGTCTACAACCTTCTGGGAAGAAACTGAGTTTGCTACAGAAGATGTCTTGAGGTAACCTTTAGTCTAAAATATAAGATTTTAGCCAGAGTTGGCCTAGCCACAGTATCTGGAGAACAGTGTGCCCGGTCTTTAGGCCACCAGCTCATGTCCAGCTCAGCCAGCACATTGATGTGCACTGTTTGGGAGCTGAATTAACTCAGAATCATTTGTCGTGATTCCTTCCTTTCCACCTGCCCTATTCTGCTTTTAACTCATTACCATCTTTACTTCTAGCTTCTAGCTTTCTTTCTTGTCTTGATCCTCAGGTCCATATACCTCTCTTCCTAACTATGACTTTGATGCTCTTGTATTCTGATTCTCCACAAGAGTCTTCAGCTCAGCCCTTCTGAACCAAATGCAGAGCCACCTCAGTAAGCCTCAGTTTCTCTTGTGGCCTAGTCTCTACTACTGCTTGGGCAAGACTAACTAGTTAAAGTCATATGCCATTTAATGATGGAGACATGTTTTGAGAAATGCATTGTTGGCTGCTTTCATCCTAGTGTGGACATCACAGAGTGCACGTACACATACACAAACCTAGATGGCAGAGCCTACTCCACCCTTAGGCTATATGGCATAGCCTATTGCTCCACGCTACAAACCTGCACAGCATGCTATTGTACTAAATACTGTATGCAATTGTTACACGAAGGCAAGTTTTTGTGTATTTCAACATATCTAAACATAGGAAATGTACAGCAAAAATACACTATAAAAGATAAGAAAAGCGCACCATATCTATAGGGCATACAGTATAAATAGAACGTGCAGGATCGGCAGTTGCTCTGGGTGAGTCACTGAGTGAATGGTGAATATATATGAAGGCGTAGGACATTGGTGTTCACTGCTATAGACTCTGTAAACAAGTAGGCTACACTAACTTAGAACACAACACTAGATTAAGTCAAGCACCAGAGAAATTATGCAATCAAGAGACATAAATATAAGATGTATGAGGATGCTGCTGGCATAACAGCGTACTGTTTTACAGAAAACGCTTTTGTGTAAGTAGAAAGAATTCACTCTAAAATATTAAGAGAAAGTGTAGTAAATACATAAGTCAGTAGCATAGTTGTTTATTGTCATTAGAAAGTGTGGTACATAATTGTATTGCTATACTCTTATACGACATGTGAGCAGTGAGTGGCACTAGGATGTTATGATGGCTATGATGGCACAGGCAATGGGGATTTTTCAGCTCCATTAGAATCTTATGGGGCCACTATCCTATATGTGATCCATCATTAACCAAAACATCATGAGGTGGCATTGACTATACAGCGTTCTTACATTTCACTGGCTGAACTGTATCTGTTTACAAAGAGCAGGAAGCTTTTTTTTCTCCTCTCTCTCTTTCTCTTCCCATGCACAGCAATTCTGCATAAAATTGTAAGGGATTTTTAGGACCACTGAAGGATGAACCATCTAGAATCCCATAGATCCCTTTAGGGTTTCTCTAACTTGATCAGGATCCCTTTCTGAAAACTTCATTTCCTCCTTTTCAAAGACAGAGAGCATCCATAAAAGTGACAGGTGGCTCCTTTTCTTCCCTCATCTCTGAAAAGTGAAATTCCAGGATAGGGGTGGGGAGAGGGTGGGGTTAGGGAGTCACATCTTATGATTGAAAGAGGTCTTCCTGAGAAACTCATCTTTTCAGTTCACATCACAAAAGTATATCCCAGCATGTCCTCCCCTCCCCCAACACTGTCCCTGACATCTCACTCCTATGCTTATATCATGCTCATTTATCTAATTGATGACATCTCACTCCTATGCTTATATCTGCTCATTTATCTAATTGAGATTATGCAATTAGGCTGAAATTTAGTCTACTTTTACAGTTTCTGACACTATGAGACTTAATCACTGTTATTGATTAATTATTATACTTACTCTTCTTAGAAACAGATAGCATAGCACAAGTGGCATTCTTTCTTACAATTTTCTTATTATTTATAAACTATGCATTCTGTGTAGTCATCATTTGTCTTTAAAGGGAATTCTGACATTTCCTGTGGTTGGGAACTGATTTGCATGGCAATTGGTTGTGTGGTATTTCTGCTTAGCAAGTTTCTCTCTGACATTGAATAAACTGCAATGATTTCACATGTGGGTATTTCCCCACTTGCATGATGAGGGCAAAGTACCATATAAAGGCCACCTTAGTGGGTCTGATTACAAAAATAAAGGCAATTTCTATGGATAAGCAGAAAGTAAAATGTTGTCTTTCTACCTCTTTTTTTTTAAGTTTAAATGTCCAGCTTTTCTTTGTAAATATATGAAATATTATTCTAATATTGTTATTGTTCACAGGTTTCCTTTATAATATATTTGTCATCAACTCAATGCTTTAGTTGTATATTAAATAAAGGGCAGAAAGCAATATTTTCTTTAAAATGGAACTATATCTCCTTAAATCAGGATAGAGTTGGGTTTTCCAATAAACTCATCCCTCAATTATATTTATGAAAATTCTATACATCCAACCAGTCAATATTTCAAAATATATTAAAAGAAAAGCATAAATAGATCCTCAAATACCAAGCCACTGTCTAGATTAGGGGCGTCGAACTCAATCAGAGAAGGGGCCAAAATCTAAAATCCAGCCTAAATCGCGGGCCGAATGGTTTACTGAACAGTCATAAACTGTCATTGTGATGGAAACGCAGCGGAGTGCAGTGATGACAGCGCAGTGTGGGCCACATTGCAAGGCCTGGCAGGACGGATTTGGCCCGCGGGCCTTGTGTTTGACACATGTGGTCTAGATCCTCAAATACCAAGCCACTGACCATTTGATTTTATGCTAGAGTAGATTTACATGGTAAAACAAGAATATTTTTCTTAACCCAACAAGATACCCCGAATCATTTCTCCTATCACATGAGAATTCTTATTTTTACATGGTCATGGTTATATTATAGAAAGAATAGTATTTTTTAGGACCAAACATTTCTCCTTAAATATATTCTTGTTAGAGTTTTTCTTCAGATATAAGTTCCAAAGGTCAGCAGTGACTTACCAGGCTTGCATCTGAACTGCTCAAGTTCTTGGAGAGGTTCCTCTTTGCTTTGAGGTTGTGTCTGAAACTTGAAATATAAAATGCATTCTATTAAGCTGCCTGGTGTTAATGGCTGTGTTTATCCCAGAACACTCCACAACAGAGAGAAAATCCCAATCTTTTCTTTCTGTAAAACCTTCAAATTATTTTCATTTTCTTCTACACTTCAGAGAGACCACACAATCTTGAGTCGTGTAAAATGTACATGTATCAAGCAACTTAGGAATCATTCATTGCAAACTTATGTAAAAGTTTCTTCAAACAGTTGTAGCTAACCCCAGGAGCTCTCTGCTTGTATTTGTCACGAAAGAGTGTGTGTTTTTTTCCAATGTGAAATGATCTAAGTGCAGCAAGGGATACCTTTACAGCTGACAGTGAAAGGGAGAGTGATTCTACAGCAAGCCGAGAGGAATCAGACCCTTTGGCTCTGATCATTAATCCAAAGCTTGCTACCGGAAGTGCACTGGTTAGCTCAAGTTAGAGAAACAGTGGCCTCTTATGGAGTCCCAGATGCACACACATGGTGCCAGAGCTTGTAGTCTATTCTGACTCTCATTCAGCCAAAATGCAGGATGAGAGGGCTACAAGAGAAAAGCCATGCTAGGCCCAATTATTTCATTTTTATAATTCACATAGAAAAGCTCCCATTCTGCCTTAACCAGCTTGACTCAGTGGATAAAACGTCGGCCTGCAGACTGAAGGGTCCCAGGTTCAATTCTGGTCAAGGGCATGTACCTTGGTTGTGAGCACATCCCCAGTAGGAAGTGTGCAGGAGGCAGCTGATCAATGTTTCTCTTTCATCAGTGTTTCTATCACTATATCCCTCTCCCTTCCTCTCTGTAAAAAAATCAATAAAAATATATATTTTTAAAAAGCTCCCATTTGTTATTATTTCTTACCCCTTCTTCCCAGCAGTGTTTACCTTCCTCCTCCAGACATTGTAAAGATGCAAACATACTCTAATGAAGTTCAACTTTTAAAATATTAGTATCAACCTGTAAATTTTGGGTTTCCTAATGTTTCTGTCATTTTCCATGGGAATATCTTTTTTTTTTTAAAGTATATTTTATTGATTTTTTTACAGAGAGGAAGGGAGAGAGATAGAGAGCTAGAAACGTCGATGAGAGAGAAACATCGACCAGCTGCCTCTTGCACACCCCATACTGGGGATATGCCAAGGTACATGCCCTTGACCGGAATCAAACCTGGGACCTTTCAGTCCACAGACTGACGCTCTACCACTGAGCCAAACCGGTTTCGGCTCCATGGGAATATCTTAAGCAAACAATCTTACCGTGTTTCCTTTGACATCCTAAGATATTGAAAAATATCTTACAACTGGGAAAAATCTTCTATCTCTATACAGAGTAATTTTGCCCACTTGGCATATACAATATATGCAAGAATCACATACATTGGGGGGTGGGGAGAGATAGTGAGAAAGTCATTGGTTTTTTTTTTGTTTGTTTGTTTGTTTGTTTGTTTTTTATGCCATTTTTACCAATGTAAGCACAGCCAAGAAAACTAGCACATGTGGGTCTATCTAATAACAAGCTGATTTTAAAGGGAACCAGACGGAGAGACTGCCCCCTGACACCATTCAGATTTGTTATTTACTGGGGTTTGGGAACTCTGTATTTAGAGAACTCTGAACCTTTGCCGGGCAGTCCCTAGTGTTTCACCTGTGATACAGTGGAGTGACTTCCAAAACAGACAGTGGTGGTAAACATGAGCAAGGCCAATGAATTTACTCTGGGAGAAGAAAAAATATTTGAAGAGAGTTCCCTGAACTTTGAGCTGCATGTATTTGGTGGAAAACAACACACAGGTAAAAGTGAAACAAATGCAATGATAAACCAAAAGGAGGGCTCCATCAGTCAGAAACTTATCTATTAACAATAAACCCCATGGTGTTTAATTTAAGTGATAGCACAAGGTCATGTGAAATGACATATTTAGCAGGAAATGTGGAGTCAGAGCATTTTACCACTCCATATTGCCTCAAATAAGAAACTCTGGCACAAAGTCAGGAATTATCATGGATCAATATCAAGATTCTAAGATACATTATTCTGTTAGTTTTCAATTATTATTTTCTTCAAGGGCACACTGTGGTCTTATTTCCTATAAATACTCTATTTGGTTATCTATACATTCATTTAAAAAATTCTCAACATGTAAATGCTTCAATAATGTCACCACATGATCAATTTCCATTATTCCCGAATACACATTCATTGAAAACATTTTGCAATCCTACCGGCAAGCCAAGAGGAATTGTGGTAAAGGTTTCTTTGAGGTTAGCAAACCCAATGAAATACATTGTACAGCGAAGCATTGTTTGCAATTGTGACATAACTGCATTCTTATCTACTTCCTGTATTTATCTGAGCTGTAAATAGCTTCCAAAGATCCTTCCAGAGTGCCTTCCAGAGAGGCATTCTGATTTCCTTTCTGTGGAGGCGTATACTGCTGCTCTGTTCATGCAGTATTCTACTTTCTTCAGCTCTATTCCCTTCCTCCTATGAGTGCCCTCTTTCCCTCTCTGCCTTTCTCCTCTGAGAGTCCTCTCTCCCTCTCTGCCAGGTCTCAGAGTCTATTTCACTCCACTTGTATTTTCTTAGTCAGATAGAGAAAGAGAAGGATGCTAGCTCTTTACCCATTATTTAGTACTATTTTGTTTGGAAACAGTTTCAAGGGCCAAGAACACATCTAAAGATTTTAAATAGTTGGTTCTATTTCTTTTTTCCCTAAATATTTTTTCTCATTGTGAAAATAATTTTAAAAATTGGAAATTCTAGAAAAACACAAAGTATAAACGTGATACTACAAATCAGTCACATACCATTAGCCAGAGATAATCACTTTTAACATTTTTCCAGTCCCTTTTTCAATCCATATGCTTATTTTAAATATTCACATAGCACTGTGTCCTGTTTTCTCCACCTACCTTTATATTTTGAATATTTAAGCCTCAATGTCCTTTAAATGTGATTTTAATTTCTACAAAATTTTCATAACTTATTCACTCCTTCCCCCCATAGTAGAGCATTTAGATACTTATCAATGTTCCATATTTTAAATAATGTTACTTAGGCTATGTTTCTAGACATTTTAAAATTGCCTCTCTTCATTAAAACAACATGCATACGTAACAAGCCTCAATCACCTATAAGGTAAGGGTTGCCATCACATTTTCTTCACACGTAGAGAGATTCTACGACTTATATAAGGCCACATAACTAGTTCCGGTCATGTGCCCCACAATGACATTTCGGTCAATGATGGCCCGCACATAGGAAGTTGGTCCCATAAGATTATAATGTAGCTGAAAAACTCCCATCTCAAAGAGATGCGTAGCTGTCGTAAAGTCATGTCATAACTCATAACATCCTCAGTGCAATAGTCACATGTTACCCATGATGCTGGTGCAAACAAACTTACTGTGCTGCCAGTCGTGCAAAAGCACAGCACATATAAATGCAGAGGTGGCCTACGCCATCTAGGTTTCTGCAAGGGCACTCTATGATGTGTTCCCACAATGATGAAATCGCCTAATGCAAATTTTTCAGACTGTATCCCCATCCTTATGCAGAGTATGACTGTATTTGAAATTTGGAATTCTTTGATTTTTTTTTTTTCCTTTCTCCATCTCTCATGCTTAATCAAACACTGAGACTATCTATTTGAATTGCCTTTTGGAAAAAAAACATTTATTTCTGTTTTATGCTATTGCCACCCATTCCGGGCCCTTGCTGGTAGCCTCACCCTGAAGCCACCTAGATGGCCTTCCTGCCTCTGCACCCTCCTGGTTGGATTTCTTCCTGGCACCACTATCAGATGGACCTTTTTTTATGCCCCTGTCCTGTTTAAAAACATCACTAACTTCTGAGTGAAACCTAGATGAAATATAAACACTTTGCCTGGCTCTCAAAGCCCCATTTTCCCCCTCCCACCTTACCTCATCCACTCCCCTTTCTGTCTGCTCGCTATCCTATTCCTGGCTTCCTGACTTCTTCTTATAATATTTACCCCATTCAAAATACTCTTCTCTTTCACTTCATTTGTTTAAATTTTACTCAGTCTGGTAAGGCCCAATTCAAGTCTCATTTACTCCATGAAATAGAGTGAGCTTCCCATTGCATTTGAAGTTGGCCAACTTGAGTTCAAAACTCTGTTTTTCTGCTTTTTCTGGGGGAGTTGGGGAGAAATAGTTAACTCCTCTAGCCTATTTCTACATATGCATTTAGAATTGTCCTATATCAACCTCCCAAGATCCCACAAAGGATTAAACGAATATTATATCGTTTTGGTAAAGCTGCTAAATGCTACAGAAAATATTTTCTACACTCTCCCTATCTATACCACATAATGTAGCACTGAATTATGTTCTGTCCTATCATACTCTCTCATTGTTTCATGTATGTTGGTCATTTTTCCTTAGCTTAGCTGTAACATCTCTGAGTAGAAATGCTATCTTATATTACTTCTACAATTCCCAGAACCTAACATTGCACCTTGCCCCACTAATTACTGGTCCAGTCTAGATGAGTTCTAGCTGATAAGGTCTGGGTTTGGGTCACATTGGAATTTAGAAACTAATGGAAGAGTCTAATGTGTGTCTTTTGGAGCAGGAATGTCTTATACTTGTGGAAGTTTGGGATCAAGATTAGCTTACACCTTTTCAAAATCTGTGAAAATGTACCCTCAATTTGGATCTTGCCTCTGAGAGATATTCACTGTATTTTCATAGTAACACTTATTAGGTCCACTTACTGAAATCAGAGAACAGAAGCAAGATGTTCTGTAGTCATCCAGGAATAATACCCAGACCTTTGGATATCTTTATCAGAAAGGTCAGGTTACCTAATCATTATATGTCATTAAAGATAATCTGCTAATCTTTTCTTCTAAATTACTCAATCTGAAATTCTTTTCTGTTTTGTTTATCTAGTTACTAGAGACCCAAAGAACACCTCCCCCCTAATAGGTATACCTTTAAAAAAGCGAGTTCTAAGGTTAAGGTTAGGGTTAGTGACAAAAAAAATAAAAAAAAATAAGGTTAAGGCTAGAGTTAGGGTACATGGTACATTTAGGTTCTGAGTTAGGATTTCAATTAGGTTTTTAGTTAATGTCAGAGTTAAAGTTCAGCTTAAAATTAGGTATAGATTTGGGTGTTTAGACGTAGATTTATAGTAGAATTAGGATTAGTGTTAGATTTAGGTTTAGGTTAGATTTCTGGGCACAAAGGACAATTTTATAAAAGAATTATAAATTTTTAAAATATATTCTTGAAAATTCCACTTTGCAAAGTAAAAGATGACAGGTCTTTCATATTTTTTCCAACTTCCCAGGACCAGTAAAGCACTGTTGGAAAAGAACCTTCATTTTACAGCATCCAAGATTAAAGTGACACTTTCAATATTGATGTGAACATCCTAAAGTTTAATTTGTAGATTATTTTTACTTTGTGCTACTTTCTTCCCTTTCCTGATATACCCAACCCTCAAACTAAAAGCTGACAACATTGAAGAAAAACACCATGATCTGGGATTCACTTACATTTTACCTGAGAATCAACACGATAGACTTTGGAAGCACTAATCTTTTGTCAAGCACCATAAACAGAAAACACAATCTGTTTTAATAGGATCAAATTATTAGATATCGCTCATATCTGTATTTCAAGCCCACACCTCTTTCTCAAACTACAAACTTGAATTTCTAATGAATGAATGATGTCTGCCCATTTCACTTGAATGTCAACAGGTCCAAGAGTGAACTCACTGTCTTCAATGAAGTTCCCTTCTATCTAATGGTAACATAATTTACCAGGTGCTCCAAAACAAAAACCTTCACTCAGCTCATTTTTCCCCTCACCTCCCACTGTCTCATCCTTTTGTCAAAGTTCTATCAAATCTCCTCCAAACCACACCTCTGTCTTCAATTAGGCCCTTATGATCTCTTGCCTAAAACATTGCAGCAACCTCTTAAGTAACTTTCAAATCATTTTCCTACTTTCAAGTTCTTCCTTATCCAATATGAACCCCTCCATTGTCACCAAACTGTGACATCTTGGTCGTGTCATCCACCCACTGAAAATCTTTCCTAAGTTCCCTTCTAGAGCCTCTTCTGTGAAAACTTTCTCACTCCTCCTTCCCCTAGAATTTTCCAGTTCTTCCCTTGCATCCCACCATACCTTGTACAATTATGGCTGTACTTACCACACTTTATTACACTTGTCTCCCTGGAGTAGATGGCAAACTTCTAGATGTTGAGACTATCTCATTCATTCCCCTACCATCGGTGCACTGAACAGTGCCTGACACAAAATTTTGTTGAAAAACAAAAAAAAGGTTATGTACAGGACTAAGTGACATTCACAGATCCCTCTTTATATATTAGTACATCCAGTCCCAAAATAAAACTTATGCTGTGTAAGGTTTCCTTAAAAAGCACACCCTGCTTCTTAACAGGAAGTTTCAGATTAATAAACAGCTGACAGAACAAACTAAATAGCATCCAATGAATCACCAGTTGACCATTCATTGCAGCTAACTAGATACAGGGAGGGAGTCAAGATAGACACAAACATCATTCTTCACTGTTGGAATGAATATGTTGCAAGATGCTTGAAAGCTCAGTATCAGAGCATTGCATATTTCCCTACACTGTGGTGAAATTTCAGGCACAGAAAAAGGCCATAACGGAAATGAATTTGGGAGGCTATATGAATACAGGAACTGGCTTAATACTAAACTAGTGGCCACAGAATGTCCACCACACCCTACTTTGTCCACGCGTGTAACATACAATAGAACTTTGCACATAGTGTATTCTCAGTTTTTCGTTGTTATTCATGAGAATATGATAAAAATACAATATATGGGTTTTTGGTAATCATTGTATTACAACAGAATTCAGCAGTGGGTGGGGGAATCACATTTTTTAAGGTCAAAGCACTCAGCTGCCTATCTGCATTATAGAGCTAAAGGCCTAAGAGCCATAGCCATGGTCACAGGCTGCCTGTACCAGTCACCAGCACTTACAGCTTTTGCTCTCAGGAAAAAATGCTAGGCCCCAGCACACTGGAAAGGTTAGATCCTATTGAGAACTCCCAATGACAGCTTTCACCTGGAACGGTGCACATGGTCAGAGGAAGCAGAAGGGGGTGAGTGGTGGGGACAGTGGGATCATGGCCAGACCATACAAAAACAGAACTCTGCCCCACAATCTGCAACAGCCAGTCCCAGCCAGCCAAAAGGTAATCAACAAATGCAAGCTTTCTGCCACGCACCATGCTTCCATGGAATTGGAAGGAGGCATTTTCCAGCTCAGAATCAACCAATAGACTTTCCAAATCCATCACACAGGATGCTCGCCTCCAGGTCACCAGGCCAACAGCCTTGGGGGGGGGGGGCGGGGAGAGGCCTATCTGGCACCTTCTTCTATGTTTCCCAACGCACTTTCCCATTCGCTGCCTGTCTTGGAGTCTCTGTCCAACACAAGAGATGTTGGCTGACCCCTGTGCCATAGTAAGTTCTCAGTAAATAGCCTCTGCTTCTTCTCATTTGGGTGATCTTCGTGGATTTTCACCCTGGGTGTCTTTGAAACATTCTGAGAGCCTGCTGTGTGTGATATCGAAGGAGGATTCTGCATTGCAGGGATGGGGCTGGGGAGGTGGGATCTGGAATTGGAAGGGGGCACTTTCTAGTTCCATGGGAATAGCTGGGGGTGCAGGTAAAAGACACAAGGTGATTCCTCTGGCCGTGGTCTGGGAGCCACTGTAGAAAAGGGGAAGGAGATGACATGGGCCCAGGAGAGGGCCAGAGGTGACTGGAGCAGGGAGAGGGGTGTACTGCAGGTGGCGGCAGCGGTGGTGATCTGGAAGACAACTGGCTGTGCAGGAAGGAGGCCTTGCAGGGAGTGTGGGACCCCAGCAGCAGGTGCGTACTGTTCCCATGGTGAGACCCCACCATCCAAGCCCACCACCATCTTGGAGCTGGAATGCCGGCTGGTCATCGTAGAGGTGGTCATGCATCTGCCGATGGATGACAGCTTCAACAACTGGAGCAAGAGGAGTGGCTCTGTGGCCAGGAGAATCTCATCCACAGTCTCTAGTTAAGGAGATCCCCACAGTGGACCTCATGATAAGCAATGTGGTGAGATCCCCAGGGCAGTGGTTGGCAAATTGCAGCTCGAGAGCCTCGGTTTGCAGCTCTGTTGACTAATGAGTTTGCCAACCACTGACCTAGACTCTCGATTCCAATAATTATAGGCTGTTGTTGCTCTTTGTGATAAAGCTCCTAGGGCCATCTGCTCCAGTGTAGGAGCTGTGGATCTTCTGACGTCACCTGAAAATGGATAACAGCGCCCTCACTGGGCAGTCAGAGATGGTGAAGAAATGCGCTGACCAGTGCCCCCATCTGTCTTTCTGGGTCCTAGGTGACGGATGACTACATTGGCCTTAACTGGCAAGTGGGCCTCATTGTGTCTTTGCTGACTTCTGAAACTGAGAGCGAGGACTGTGTAAAGAAAACAGATTCTCATAGGACCAGAGAGGACAAAACAGCCTGAACATAAAAGCAAAATGCGGCTCAGACATTGCTAACGCCAAAGACTAGTGGATTCTATAAGACGCAGTTATCCTAACGAAGGCAAGTGCGGTTTGCGAAAGGCTACCCTCACTTGTGTTCTTGATGACAAACTCTTTATATTTATATATTCATCAGTCATTGGTTCAGGGATGATCCCAATTCTTCCCACATTTAGACCCAACCATAAAGATCAATTATGCTCCAGCACCCAGAGAAAGCCCTCGGGCTTGCTGTTTGAAGCAACTGAAAATCCAGATAGTGAATGCCATCAAACGGCTGGTTAATCACCTTGAGGGATGAAACTGCGTGCTGGGTGCACTGTGGTACAGCATATGGAACAAGTCAGGTGTATCAGGCGTTTCGCGGCAGTGGCAGCTACATCAGCCTTAATGAGAGGGACTCCATGCTCTTGGTCGGCATGTCCTTCCTCTGTGCAATGCTCTCTGTAATGATGGCTATTCCTTTAATGGGCCACATTCACTGTTATGTATTTAGTCATAACAACTTTTACAATGTTTTGTGTTTGAAGTTATTTTCCCTTTGCTTTATGTATAATACGTATTTGCAGCTTCTCACTTTCCCTCTTCACATACCTTTCTTACTCATCTTTTTTTCACAGACCAGCTGCTGGGTCTGTTCATCTCTACTGCTAGTTTTCTTCTCCCATCTCATTCATTTCTGTCCTCACTTTTGTTTCCTTTTCTGGAGTTTATTTGTGTTTGATCCATTACTCTTTTTCCAAACTCTTCAGTTGGACAGTTAGCTTGTAGTTTTTAACCTTTTCTAGGTCCTGTTAAACATTTAAGACTATGATTTTACCAAAAGTACTTTTTCAGCTTTTCCACACATTTTAACATATAGTGTTTTTGTTATCCTTTCATTATAACCACTTATTAATTTTCTTTATTTTCTCTTAAACCCAGGCTAACAGTAAATTTCCAAACATAATTCTTAAGTGATAACTTTGCTCTGAATTTTTAATTTTACTGAATAAGCCACAATTTCTACTTCAACAAGTTCCAAGTTGCAAGTTCTCAGAGACACTTCCTACCCTGATCCTCGGCTGCCACAGCAGCATTTCCTCATTCTCTTCCTGTGTGGGCTCAGCCCTCCCAGCCTGGCTCATGGGAGGGACTCACTCGCACCTCTGCAGGCCGTGGGGCAAACACTTCATGTCCTGGGTCCCCAGGCCACGTGGCATCAAGCAAAGCCACCCTGGATGTCAGCACCCCTTTCATTCTTAGCACCTGAACACTTCCCTTCCCCTCCCCCTTCTTCTTCCTCTTCCTCCTTCTCCTGTTTTTAAAATATTCTTATTGATTTCAGAGAGGAAGGGAGAGGGAAAGGGAGAGAGAGAGAGAGAAACAACAATTATGAAAGAGAATCACTGATCAGCTGCCTCCTGCACACCCCACAGTGGGGATGGAGCCTACAACCCAGGTGGGTATGTGTCCTGACCGGGAATTGAACCGTGACCTTCTGATCCATAGGTCCATGCTCAACCACTGAGCCATGCCTGCAGGCCTCCCTTCCTCTCCTGCAAGCTCAGTCCTGTTTTGAAAGGGTCATTTACAATGCAGTGTTATAGAGTTTGAAATACCGTGTTTCCCTGAAAATAAGTCATCCTCCAAAAATAAGACCTACTTACAGGTTTCCTTCTGAGTGAAATATAAGGCATCCCCTCAAAAATAACGCGCCCCCCCCCCCAGGCTAAACATGAGAGATTCTGAAAGAAATGGAGTCACAAGAAATTTACCAGGAAATTCAGGAATTGGATTATTATGATGATGTTCCAGAAGATGATGACATGATTGTCATTGAATGAGTAAATTCTTGATACTGTAGGATTCACAGTTTGTCTGGTTTGTGTTGACAACTACCGTACTACCGTACCGTATACAGGTAATAAATTTCCTTTATTTTCATTTAACAATAAATGTGTACTGTATTCTTCTTCATGGAAAAATAAGATATCCCCTGAAAATAAGACCTAGTGCATCTTTGGGAGGAAAAATTAATATAAGACACTGTCTTATTTTCGGGGAAACAGGGTAGGAGGATTTTGAGGTGGTCTTGGCTTCTGTGTTGCTTATAACTGGCACAAATTCAGACAATACGGTTGGATACAAAATGAAAGCCTCTAGAGCAGTGGTTCTCAACATTCCTAATTCCATGACCCTTTCATACAGTTCCTCATGTTGTAGTGACCCCCAACCATAAAATTATTTTTGTCACTACTGCATAACTGTAATTTTGCTACTGTTATGAATCATAATGTAAATATCTGTGTTTTCTGATGGTCTTAGGCGACCCTGCTAGCGGTTCTCAACCTGTGGGTCATGACCCACAGGTTGAGAACTGCTGCTGTAGGGGCTGCGGTTCTCACCACATGAGATTAGTAAACTCATGTTTTCCTCTGACTTCTTGGTTAACCTGTCCTTTTTCGGTTTCTGCATTTTTTTTTTTTTTTCGTGGAAGTAGATTGTTGTTAATAATGTATAACTTTTCTGTAATTAAAAGAAAAAAAATAAGAGGATTCATACTACGTTTAAGATCCTTTAAGCATTAAAAAAAATCCCTATATGCTTATCTATATAAACAATCCTGATAATATAAAAATTATGTTTGGAAATTTACTGTTAACCTGGGTGTAAGAGGTAGTTTCCAAACCTCCTATGCACCTGGGAACTTTTGTTAAAAATTCTGTCCATGGGTTTTGTAAAAAAGATCCCTGAAGAATTCCAATGTGTA